AAAAAAAAAAAAAAACAGATCTTTTCCGTTTTATCGGTCTAATAATGTTATAGTACGACGTCGTTGGGGAACGGAAAATGTGTAAATGATGATTAATGTGATGTGTAGCTTCATGGGATATATAATAATGAGATTTTAATAATACGTACAACTGTTTAACAGTGAGGAGGAGCTTAGCTTAGAGATCTGGGGCAAGCACTGCACATGTTCGGTGATTGATGGTATTATTATATTATTATTAATTAAAAAACACGAAAAATACAGACTCCACGCAGATATCTGCGACTTTCCATTAGAATGTTAATAACACTTTTTCTATAATAACAAGTGTGGTAGTGATAGACGGACTAGTTTTATTATGGTAAGCATTTAGATTGGATGAATGGAAAAATGTAAAACGCATATATTAAAATAAAACAAAATGTAACTTATATATTAATAAACACATTTTTGTATACAACATTATTTGTTTGCCCTTTTGTTAAATCGTCTACTGTTACAAATTAAAATTTCAAACACTTAAGATTCGTAGCGCGTGAAACATGCATAAAGCTGGTCGTGAAGGTTACATATATTAGGATTCTAGACAAACTTAAATAAATCAATTAAATTATTTAGCATGATATATCTTATATGATTTATACTTGTTTTATGAAGATTGCATAGCAAAATATAACAGATATCGTAAAACGTCTTTTTTGATAATCTATAGTTAATTCGAATTTTATATTGCCAAAAAAAAATATATATATATAAATAATAGTAGTTTAATAGGAAGTTCATTTATATGAGAATATGTGATTGTATTTTTTTAATTGAAAATTTTCATTCAACCAATTTTTAGTTCAGCCAGATTTTTCGAATAAAAAATGAGAAAGAATTTTGATTTTTAGAAAACCGTAAACGCTACCGAAATCTACCAAAATTAAATCTACAATACCCATCATTTTAGGGTGCATTTAAGGTTAATCGATTTTGGGGTTAATAAATTAAAAAAATTAAAAAAACTACCGGCATGCAATAAATATGGACCGATTTTATGGCAACTCAATGATAAGAGATTTAAAAATTAAAATTTTATATTCGAAATGAGACCTAATTATTTTCAATTAGATTTTTTGAATTAAAAATGAGAACGAATTTTGATTTCTATTTAAATGAGAATGGATTTTGATATCTGAAATTTTCAAAAAGTACATCAACAAAACCCATCAATTTATAGTGCATTTATGGATGACCGATTTTTTTGGTTAATATTAAAAGAAAATAAAAAAACTGCTGAAATTGGAATGCGTTAAATGTTGGTTGATTTTTATGTTAATATTTTTTGTAAATAAGTTGTCTTTTTATATATTTATAAAAAATTTGAAGACACTTACAATTTTCCGAAACTATTTTAGAAAAAAAAAACATGTCTAAAATATTTAAACTTAATATATATATATATATATATATATATATGTGTGTGTGTGTGTGTGTGTGTGTGCGCGCGTATATGTATATATAGTTATAATATGACATTGTTATCATCCGATTCGATAATCCGGGATCACTGGCCTGAAATTGCGCATTAGAAGAATCATTAACCACAGTCAACATAAGCAGCAATCACTCCGGTTTGCATAACAACCGACCTTCAACCGAATACGAGCCAAACTGGCATGTCCATTGAAGACCGAGGTGACCACCAACCGACGTCATCACGTCCAAAGCAGGTGACAAGGCGGTGAGGCGCATACGCGACACACCTCGAAACCGCAAAAGAATCTCATGATCATCATGGGACCCACACACATGGCCGCCCACCAAAAAGCTACTTTACGAAAAGGCTATCGTACGCCTCGAGATACGAACCCAAAAAGATACTATAAATAGCAAATTCTTACTCTTGTACAGGGATCGGTCTCTGAACATTCCATACATATATACAAAAAACCGCGCCACCTTTCACCTCGGTTCACCTCGGACCGGGGTCATTGTTCGTGTTCTGAATGCATATTTCACGTTCAAATCTCTTAAAAGATTCACCTAATCACATACTCAATCGTTGTTAACAATCACATAACAACAGACATGATAAAATATTATATAAAAGTATTTAAAATTTTATAAGCCTAAATAAAGACATTATAAATTTTTGAGAGAAAATATACTTAATATATATAAAATAAATATTGACGTGATCCCAAATTATGACGGTACTTCTCAAAATTTGAGTACATAATATTTTAAAATTATTTTTTTTATAAGTTTGTTACCGTTAAGAAAAAAAATTGTACACATAATAATTCCACGCTTTATGCAGATTTATTAAGGTTACAAATACAACTCAGAGATTAATATAAACTGTAACAAATATATATAACTAATAATCAGATAAAAATTGAAGACAATATTTAATTCTACATTTCTTCTTATAACTTTTAATTGTATGTAGTTTGGAAGAGAAATATGTGATAAATATACTAAAGACCTCTAAAATATTATATCATATATATAAAGAGTATATACAATATTCTATATTATTCTTGAAAAATGTTTGAATCCACTTTCTAAACTACGGAAAACATGTCAAAAAATACTTAAGTTTAACCTCGTACATGTGTGTATATATATGTATACATATATATATGTCTTTCATTCGAAGGCATAACTTGGACGCTAGTTGCTCAATCTGTTGCTTGTTAAGTTGGTAGAGCTAGTAAAGTTATTGTATGAGGTCTGTCCAATGCTAGATGCAGAGGCGCATAATAGATCGATATAAACATCAATTTTTTTTTCTCTATTTCCGAATATCCATTGGCCGTATATATATGTATACATATATATATATATATACATATATATATATACATATATAGAGAGAGAGCTTCTTAATCTTTGTTTCATGTTTAAAATATCTAAAATATTATAAGGGTTAATAACTGTTAAAAAATATTAGTATTTAAATGAGTGAAAATTATTTTTTTTTAATTTTTTATTTATATTTGCAATTAGACAATTAACTTGTTTTAAGAAAAAGAAATTCTGTTACGATAGTTTTTTTAAGAAAAAATATGTTAGAAGATATAGATAAGAGATGAGATTTTTAAAATTTATAGGGATATGGTCCGATCTTTAAGGCGACGTGTGTATGGAATTAAATATGAACAGATTCAATTTTTTAACTGTGAACAGATTAAGGATGGGATAAGATTTCTTCTATGTACGTTATCCCAATAAATTAGCCGATTAATTTCCTTATTATAAATGTCCAACAATATCTATTCTTTTAAGACACTTTTTATGAGATTGGCGGGTATTTTACATAAAATGGGCGTCAAACATCTAAAATAGTTATTCTTTTAATATAATTGTAGATTGCTTTTAGCATTCTTTAAATAAATAAATAAATAAAAAAAATGAGAACAAGTAACTCATGCAAGAATTTGAAAATTGCTTGTTTGGATGGTAATAAAGAACTTACAATTTGGTTGATTATTAGAGTGAGTGCTAATTTATTTCTTTACTTTAGGTTAAAATATTAAGATTATAAATAAAAGAAATAAAAAAAAAAATCATTAATAAAAGGATAGGGCAAGTTAGTTGTACAGAAATGTAGCCTATTCAAAACACGGTTAGATTAGTGTACATATGCTGGGATTAGTGGTTTCAAATCAATTAAGCAAACCTGATGTTTTGAGACTATAATAGGTTGTGTAGGTTACCAAATCATTGTCAATTTAGATATATATATATATATATA